CCCCCCCAAATAAATCTTTGAAAAAAAAAGTTTTCCAGTATGCCAACAATATTGGAAATGCCAATTTCTATATTTTTCCAAAATGCTGTGGTTAATACAATAGAACAGTGACCATAAATCACTGTTTCTTTTTAAGTAGATGGCTTCGAGGGGTTTTAGTTGTTTGGCTTGGTTTTAGTTTGATTTTCGTTTGGTTTTGTCTTTTGTTTTTAACCTCTTAGACTAGCCTTTTTTGTTTTGAACTCCAAGATGGCTGTTGCCCAGTTTATTCATTAATGTTTTAACATTGTTTATATTTTTTGTCACAGTGTTGTCTACAAATTGTCCTTTCCCAAAAAGCATTCCTGACGATCAGAATTTTTTTCATCCCTCCTTCCAAGAATTGACATGATAGGAGGGGTTTGAGTTTCAACTCCTTCTGCCACCTAACTGGCTCTGTGTCCTTGAGCAGGTAGTTAACCTTGGAGTTTCGTTTTCCTCATCTGTGAGATGAAGAACATAATCCCTGCTTTGCAGAGTTGTGAAGGTTAGAAATAGCATGTGTAAAGCGCTCTGCACGCTCCGCGACACAGAGTAAATCCTCCATGAATGGCAGCTGCTGTTTGGCCCATCTACTGTCACACCCTGCCATTGAGTGTGTCTCTGTCACTCCGCCCTGGGTCTCCCAAGGTGTGCAGAAGTCACTCACTTAGCAATGTCACATTTTTTTTAGCATGATACATACACTATGCAAAACTTAGTCTTGTCAAAACAGAATTGTGGGGAGGTGCAATGAAAGAGTACACTGTTTCAATTAATTTTTAAAATTTTAAATTTTTTAAAATTTGAACTTTATTTTTCTTTGCAACTTTCTGCTTTTTCCTTTTTGGGTAGGATTTACCTAATTTTTTCCACTCTTGTATGATCTGTAATGATGCAGCAATTGTATTTGTCTTTGTACTATGTGTGTATATATATGCGTGGGTGTATGTGTATATATATGGTCAATTCCTCCAGCTTTGTACATGCATCTACTACGTACAGAAATTTGAGGGTATAGCTATGAATATATACACATGAGTGTGAGTGTGTGTGTGTGTGAGTGAGAGAGAGAGAGAGAGAGAATCATTCATTGGCTGCACCCACCATCTTCACATGCTGGAGGAATTCTACCCCATCGTATTTTATTTCTCTATTATTGGATATGTAAGTTATTTCAAGTTTTTTCCCTTGGAATTTGGCAGAGGTGCTACTATCAGGACTGCCTCCCAATTACTCTTTCTTTGGAGTAGCACTAATGTATAATGAATGGAAACCTTCCCAGGCAGCCCTCTTCTGCATGGTGCTCCGTCGGCTGCCTCCATCACTGTGTGCGCAGGCCTGGGGCCATGAGAGGGCACAGTCCCCCTACTCAAGCCTGCCGACTGTTGCAACAGCTGGAGCCAAGGTCTGCTGCAGCCTTTAGAAAGAAACTCTTTCTAACTAGGGTCAGCTCAGAAAAATCACTGATCCTGCTCAGGACATTAGGGAAGGGGGTGTCTGAAAACTAGACACCGCAAAGAATACTGTGGAACTACCTTATTCTCTTTTGGGGGGGTCCCCTGAGAGAGGAGCTAGTTTGAATTTCGACCTCAGACAGACCAGGAATGAATTCCTATAGAGGGTTTTCCCATTTTAAAATTCCAGTTCCAGAATACTGGATGTTATACTGGGAAAAAAAAGTACCGGTTTCCACTAATAGGCGCAGTGGTCAATCAAGATGTGATGATAAGTAATGAAATGATATCATTGTTCTTGAACTTGAAAATTAATAGCGCAAGAATGCATTCAATATTTTACTTAGTAAAATAGAAATAGGTGAGTTTTGCCATTGCTGCTGCCTTCTTGTTCTCTGTGAATTTATGTTGTGGATCTTCTGTATGCTTTTAGGAAGTTTTAATTAAATGTGTATTAAAGTATAAGAACTTATTTTGGAAAACTTTAAAATTCTTGTTATGTTTTTAATGAAATTCTACATTCTACCCAGAGTATTTAGCCTCTAAGCGTATAAAAGGGATTAGGTGAGGCTTGTTTTCTTTCAACAGTAAGGTGAATTAAGGATATAATTTAGGTGTGAGCTGAAGACAGTCAAATGTTCCTTTATGCTTTTGTTCAGTTTTCTGAGAGTCATGCCTATAATAAGATCGGTCTTCTTGTCTTTAGCTCTGAAAGGGTGCGCTGTATGAGTCAGTCACTGCACACCACCACACAGTCCATTAACCTGCGAGCAGGATGAGCCTGCGATGGCTCAGTTAAGTGTCATTTTTGAGCTTCCCAGCGTCCTAGGCACCTCTGTTTTAAACTGGCACCTCTGTTTTAAACGCGGTTAAGTAAAAAAACTAAAAGTTGAAATCCCTAAAATTTTTTTTTTTTAAAGATTTTATTTATTTGACAGAGAGAGACACAGTGAGAGAGAGAACACAAGCAGGGGGAGTGGGAGAGGGAGAAGCAGGCTTCCCGCTGAGCAAGGAGCCCGATGCGGGGCTCCATCCAGGATCCTGGGACCATGACCCGAGCCGAAGGCAGACGCTCAACGACTGAGCCACCCAGGCGTCCCCCCTAAAAATCTTTCAAGTTAACTTATGAGATACGGTTTTAAGCCATTAGGCATTCTTTAAAAAAAAAAGAAAAAAGAAAAATAGGGGTGCCTGGGTGGTTCAGTCATTAAGCATCTGCCTTCAGCTCAGGTCATGATCCCAGGGTCCTGGGATCAAGCTCCGAGTTGGGCTCCCTGCCCTGCGGGAAGCCTGCTTCTCCCTCTCCTGCGCCCCCCTGCTTGTGTTTCCTCTCTCGTTGTGTCTCTCTCTGTCAAATAAATAAACAAAATCTTTAAAAAAAAAAAGAAAAATAGCTATTTATGACATTTCAAATAGATCATAAACTTTATTTGGATATTTATTAGATCATAATCACAATGTAGTCATGGCTTGAAGAAATATACTGTAAACCCCATCTCTTAGGCGCTATTTGTTTCACTAGTTAAATTATTCCTATCATAAATTTAACAATGATATGAATTAAAACTTTTTGTTGTTGACATGAAACAAGCTTGTATTTCACATCTTAAACTAAGAATGGAAATAGTTTTGTGGATGTAAAGAAAATATTCTTCAGAAACTTTTATGTTTCAAATGAATGGACTTATAAAATTCTTAGAAAAGCCAGATTTATAAAATTTATTAGCTATAATAATTTTATTTCACTTAACTGTTCTTTTTCTAGGACTTACTAACCAGACATAAAGTGTTGGTCGCAGACTTCTTAGAACAAAATTATGACACTGTAAGTAGAAGTCCTTTTTAAGATTTTACCTCATTTTCTCTTCCCCCCGCTTAGATCTATGGACACTTGCTCCTATTTATGATTCACAACAGACACTAACCATGTCTACCATGCACCCAATTTGTCCATTTACCTGGAAGCCAAGTCATCAGGAAACTTTGTGGAAAATTGAGGATGGCAGGAGATTAGGGCTTTCTCATTTTTCACACCTGTTTCTGTTGTTGTATCCAGAGCTCCAGAAAATGACTGGCACCTGCTTACTTTGATCCTGATTTAAGAGCATCCATATTGCCCTTAAGAGGCAGTAGGTAACCAGAGAAGAGCACTCCACCCTCACTGAAAGAAATCATTTTACTTGCTTGATAATTAGTTTTACTTACTTGTAGAAATGCCAGAATATTTGTCTTCCAAGTCCCTTCTCAAATGGTGAATCTAACCCATCCTTTTGAGATTCCACTGAACCGTGACTCTTCTAGGGAGTTTTCCCTAATCCCACCCATCCACATATACGCATGCTTGCTCCCTCCCCACCCTGGCTGCCACCATTTTCCACACTGTATTATGATGTGTCTGTACCTTCCTGGCTGGTTCTTGAGCTCCCTGAGAGGCAGGAACCTGATCAGAAACTGTAGATGCTAGATGGAATGTTAAAGACTCATTAGATGTCCATTTATAATAAGTGAAAATAAGAGAGCTAAGATAGTTTATGACAAAACCCACGGCATCAGCTACTAATTTTTTCTGTAGAATGAGTGATGGAAATGTGTTGTGCAGGAATGCTTTGCATTCAGGAAATAGTACGCAATAATTTGTAAGATGGTAAACTCATTCTCTGTGATCCCTCATTTACCCGATTTTGTCTTTGTACCTATAGTCACATCTTGTGTAATTTGGTAGCTTCACAGACACTGAGCCTGCTGCACTGACCTGAACACCAGCTCCGAGACCTCATGCTCCCTCAGACATTTCATACTTTCTGAGTTTCATATTTCTTTAGCAGTAAACTATGAAATGGGAGCATGTGAAACTGGTGTCCTGGGGAGTCAGTCATACCTTATACATGTATTTGAAGTTTCTGGTTACATATGATTGCACTCATGTGGAATTTAAGAAACAAACAAGCAAAGGAAAAAGAAGAGAGAAAGAGAGAAACCAAGAAACAAACTCTTAACTATAGAGAACACACTGATGGTTACCAGAGGGGAGGTAGGTGAGGGGGGATGGGGGAATAGGTGATGGGGATTGAGGGTGCACTAGTCATTATGAGCACCAGGTGATGTATGGAAGTGTTGAATCATTATATTATACACCTGAAACTAATATAACACGGTATGTTAACTATACTGGAACTAAAATTTTACAAAACTTACCACAAAATTTGATAAATTTCATGTCCCACAAAATCCTGTCAGAATAAACAGTAAGTCCTTCATATAATTATTATGACTTTAATGTGCGCTACCTGGTTTTGTTTTTACTTTTCACTTTCTTAATTCCTTGTTGGAAGTTATCCTCTGTGTGCACTGCTTGCCCTCATCACATCCATGCACACACACCTCACACTTGGCCCTCTGAGGACCCAGGACTGTTTTCCTCCCTCCTCAGCCCCTGGACTCTCCTGCCTTCAGTTCTCCGTTGGGCTCGCTCCTCCCACCTCCGTGGTCTCTGAGGCATGTCCTTGCGTGGTAGGAGGTGGACGCTTAGCTTCCCCAGCATCTGGCACTCTGTGTGAAACTGAAGGCCCCAGGCAATGGTTGACAGCCACAGGGGGAAACAGGAGCCCCAAACACCAGCATCCCCCAGCTTTTGGGGAGTGTGGAAGTCCTCCAGAGAGACCAGCTGGGATTAGCATGGCCATTTTGTGGCAAAAGTTGCCCCATTCCTCTACCTGTCCACACTATGAACTTGACAGTTTGATTCTTCATGGGGTATCACGTGAAGCCCTAAGTGTGTTGAATCTTTTCCTAAATTATTCATGCACTAATAGCTACCAGCTACCAACTTCTCTAAAATGGCATGAAAGGTGTTATTTTGCTACTCAGTTAATAGATGAGTTAATAGATGTTTTATTCAAAAGAGTGTATTGAGAAGACTCAAATACTCCATTTTTCTACTCAATTTTTAATTTGCAGAACTAAAATAAAATGGACAAGTACATCTGTTGTATCACTTGACCTTCCTACCCCGCAGTGTCTTTATGTGTAAATGAGGATGATGAAATGGGGGAAAGCTCCCTGTGGACAGTGTGATCAGCATAGAGTTATTACGCACAGAGAGAGATGCAAAGCACAGCAGCTGGGCCGCACTGGCCTAGTGGGTTGGGGATTTACTTTTGAAGCAAGAGAGCAAGCAAACCTAATGCAGAGAAACCACTGCTGGTTTTACACTCTAATATTTATTTTCTTTTCATTAGATTTTTGAAGACTATGAGAAATTGCTTCAGTCTGAGAATTATGTGACTAAGAGACAATCTTTAAAGGTAATATCAAATTACAGGGCACCTGGGTGGCTCAGATGGTTAAGCGTCTGCCTTCAGCTCAGGTCATGATCCCGGGGTCCTGGGATCGAGCCCCGTGTTGGTCTCCCTGCTCAGCAGGGAGCCTGCTTCTCCCTCTGCCTCCACCTCTCTCTCTCTGTCTCTCATGAATAAATAAATGGAATCTTTAAAAAAATAAAATAAAAGTAATATCAAATTTCTTTAAGAGTCCCAGTTGAGGGCGCCTGGGTGGCTCAGATGGTTAAGCGTCTGCCTTCAGCTCAGGTCATGATCCTGGAGTCACAGGATCGAGTCCCGCATCGGGCTCCCTGCTCGGCGGGGAGTCTGCTTCTCCCTCTGACCCTCCTCCCTCTCCTGCTCTCTGTCTCTCATTCTCTCTCTCTCAAATAAATAAATAAAATCTTTAAAAAAAAAAAAAAAGAGTCCCAGTTGATATCATACTAGTAAATGATGGCTCTGAGTGAACAAGTATATAAAGAAAAATTAAGGTGTCCCTTTTTTTGTAACTTGGGAAGTATGTTTCATGTTATGACTGTATTTTGTAGCAAAACAATGTAAGTGTCCTGCCTCAAAGACTTTTTGGAAGTAACAATATAAATAATATGTACATGATAAAGTAGAATTTAGTATATTTCAGCTCTGAAAGAAAATCAAGCTTAAGTTAATTTAAATACAACCGCGGTTCTCTCCTAGGGCGTATTTTGTGGAGATGAAAAGAAATCACTCTTAGCTTGAAATTAAGATCTGAATTACTGTTTATAAGAATCAGCAAGGTTCTCCTGTAGTTTTCTTTCAGTGTATCTGAAACAGGAAAAAATGACCCTATTTCTCTTATACATCTCTCTGTAAACTAGACTTTGTGGGCTATTTTGCAGAGAAGGGGAGAGGAAAAGGTTATGTGACGGGGCTCACCCCCATCTGAGCACTTACCCCCAGATTTGTAACATATTTTTCTAAAGAATTTTTTTTTTTTTTGCATTTCTGGGTTCCATATTCTGAGCATTCATGTTAGTGTTCTACTGTAGGTCATTTTTAATTCCTCCACCATTTAACATGACATGTTCAAATTGTATTTCCAGCGAAGATTCTGAAATATGAAAATAGTCACTCTTTAAGAGTTAAAAGAATAATCTTTAATAATCTTTAATAAATTTGGGTACTTGATCATGGACCCAAAACTGTGCTTCTCTAAAAATGCTAGTATTACACTGAAACAGACTCTGGAAAGAGGTTAAAAGATGATATCACCAGCTGGAAAAGAAAATAAAGTCAGTGCTCAATTATCTGCAAATAGTTTAGTTGGACCAATTATTGGGGGTGGTGAGGAGGGTAATAGGGCATTCCATTTGGTCAACAAATATTTATGTGCTCCTATTCCTAACATTACGGTGACAGCCAAGAACAAAATGAAGTGGCACCTGAAAGGACCTTACATTCTGTTGGAGGAGAACAGACAATAGATAAAGAAAAAGATAAATATATAATTTTCAGGTGATTTTAGAACAGTTAAGGAGGGCGCAGGGACAGGAAGTGATGACAGGGGTGGTAGGGGTGTTTGTGTGTAACCAAGTGGCATTTGCTCTTGGAGATTATATCACCTATGAAATGCCTGTGGAAGTTCGCTCTCGCCCAGCCCAGGCAGCCCAGCAGAGTAGGGCCACATAGTCAGTGAGTAGCCTTCCCTCCTTCAGTGAAAATGTGCCTGGGGGCGCCTGGGTGGCATAGTCGGTTGAGCGTCCCACTCTTGGTTTCGGCTCAGGTCGTGATCTGGGGGTCCTGAGATCAAGCCCCACATAGGGCTCCGCACTCAGCACAGAGTCTGCTTGGGACTCTCCCTCTCCTTCTGCCCCCTTCCCCCACCCCAGCCTCAAATAAATAAATTAATTTTCTAAAAAAGTGCCTGGAAGCAGCCATTTGGTCAAGAGGAGGTAGGACTGGTCCTATGGGAGTGGGACGTCAGTTAGAGCTGCATCTCTACCCTTCAGATTCCATTCAGATATTCCAAAGAAAGTTACTGGCAGATAATAATTGGCTGGCTTTGTCAGGTACTTTATATGATGTTTGGGCTTACTAAACATCACTTGTATTATTTTTACATGTTGGGATAGTGACATTCATAGAACAATGTGTTTGTTTCTAAATATTGAATATACTTTTAAGTGAAATGATAAACTAAGTGTATTTTGTATGACATTTTTGTCAGTTCACTTTTACCTGTGATTTTGCCTTAGCAGGACCCGCCTGCCCCTGAATTTGTGCCCTTGCTGCTCCAGCATTACCCATTGTTGGGGGGGTCAGTGTGCTATTTTCAGTCAGTCATTCAGCACTCTTTATTGAGTTTCCCCTTGCGTGGAAACCCACCCGAGGTGATCCATATAGAAAATATACCTTGGGTTCACTGTTCTTGCTGCTGGAGCCTGGATTGATGAGATCAAGCTTCAGACAAAGGCAGGTGACATGCTGCCGTGCTCGCCCACGTCTAGAAAGCTTGTTAAAGCATTTGAAAATAAGGCCACATCCTGTTGCCACAGCTGTGTACCTAAAGAATAGAATTCCTTATTTGTAAAGGGTTTCACAAGCACAGCCCAAAACAGGGGAGCTGGTCTGTATTATAAGAGATCATCGCCCTCGGTGGGAAGGAGAAATTGAACGGTAAACAGAGCTGACAATGCTCCGAGACGCCAGTGTATAAGAAGTCTCTCATACATTTTCTAAATCCTTCCTCTTTTTAGTGGGAATCCATAAGATCCTGAACCAAAGTAGCAACATTGGTATAAACTAAGGTGATTCAACTAAATTGGGATCAAGAAAGATGAGAGTCATAGACTTTAGAATTTACCCTCGTACCGTTTTCAGCAGTGACAGGAATTGGTGATAGAAATTTTTCTGCGATCGACTGTCTCTACTAGGGCTTTAGGTGAAGTTACAAAGCTAACAGTTGTTCCCCTAAACGTCTCCCTTCTGGGCCTCCTTCCTGCTTTTTCCTTCTTGTTACCCTGTCATCCCTTCCTACCCATTTGCCCATTGCCCTCATTCTGTTCTCAAGATGTCGTCAACCCCACCTTGGCGTGCTCCCTAGCAGGATGCATTTACATTTGATACAGAAGCCTGTTAATTCAGCACATGTGTGAAATTTGGTGGGGAGCATAGGGGAGTGAGAAGGTTCATTCTTCACTGCTGCCAGCTGGCTCTCCACTATCCAGCCCCCTTTTCAATGGCTCTGGGGCCAGACACCTCTGCACTGTTCCCAGCGGCACAGGCAAAGAGCAACCGAGTCGGGATGTGGTATTGAAACTCTCCCTTGCCCACTTGATTGTGCTTCCTCCTTATTTACAGATGCCCAAGCCCACTCAGAAGGCCTCTTTCCTGTTCTTTATTAATCCACCCAGATGTACTATGTTGGCTGCTACTCTTGCCTAAAATCTTTTATAGTGGCGTGTCTCACAAATATTTTATTTGCACTATGGTAAAACTGAGCACTGGTTGGACACTGAAGAAAACCAGTAAAAGACAGATAAAGCATATCCAAGAATGCAGAAATTGTTAAAATGAGTACTAAAGATCTGGCTTTTTTGAATGCTAGATTATAGGCAGAGACATCACTAAAATAGTCTAATTTCACCGTATTCAAGGAGAGAGCTGTGTATCCTTATCTTTAATAGAAAAATGTTGTTTTGGAGAGCTCTGCTGGTGCACTGTTGGTTTTTCCTTTTGAGAATTAGGTCTGTGGTAGCAATATGTTCTGTTTTGACACAGCCATGTTTATATCTCCGAATTCTGTACTATTTTGTACATATATGTTTCATCATTTCAGAAAATACTTACAGTACAATATGTAAGAGAAATTTGGTGGTGAGCAAACTTACATACTTACAGTATTCTGTAAGTGATAAACTGTCTTAAAGCTAGGCAATTTTCTGACTCCGAAGTACTGGCTGCCATCTTTTGGTAATCATATTCTAAATTTTTCTGAACTACCTTGGGGTGCTTAGATTCCTGGTGTCAATAAAAAATAATTAACAGAGAAATTCCTTCCCCTCACATGACGGAGCTTTGGAATTTATTTCTTATCTTCTTCAGAGCCATTTAATTACTAGCAAGAAAGATCATAATTCAAAAGAAGCTTGGCAGAATTTTGGGGGTTGTTTTTGGCTCTGGTCAATTTCATTAAAACCCTAAGTTTTAAAAAAAACTCATCATTTCTACTTGCTGTGCTTGGCTTTACTCTATATTGAAGCCTATAAAATCTAATACAGAGAACTAAAAACAATTTTTTTCCATTTTATCATGTTAAATGCTTTGTATTATGATGAAGTGCAGCATTTTGTCATTGTCAGTATTAATTAAAATAGATTAACATTTAATGGCTAAGAGTCAGTGTTGTTGGTCAAATGATTTAACACGATTGTTTCAGAAAAGTAGTGAAATTATATTAGCAGAGGATCGAATGGATAAAATTTATATGTAGGCATCCCCCTGTAATAAAAATTAAAGTGACTTAATCTGAATTTAACTTATAAATGTCACTTCAGCAAATTCTTGAGTGTGTGTGTGTGCGTGCAAATTTTAAGGGTAAATTTTTTTAATGAAATTTCTTGTTGAAAGACCTTTTAATATGTGTATGTGTCTACTATATGTATTTGTATATACATGATATGTATTATATAATGATTTTTATGTTTTATATAAATATATCTTTATATCAATATAGAATCTGTACATATAGATACAGATCTATATCTGTAATGAGGCCTATCTATTATCTATATATGCCCATGTATATCTTAAGTGGGTATGTCTTATATACATAGACATATATATATGTATCTTGTCAGCTTTACAACCAAAAGTGGTTGGGTTTTTTTGAGAGTCCGGGAGTCCTCCCGCTGACATGTAAACATGTAGGAAGATAGCACACTGTCTCCCCGTCATCGGGGAAGTTAACCTCGGTGCTTCTCTCTGAGCTGTAACCATTTGCTTGTCAGAGACATGAGTTTTATTATCCTCTTTATTAGCTGAATAAAGGCAGTTAGCTAAAACAAGTAGTTTCCTTAGTGGCCAGGTGGGTTCAGAGTGAACTTTGAAGGGTGCATAGCGAAAGGTGCTGTCAAGTCCTCTTACAGGGAATGGATTGCCTTTCATCTTGAGAAGACACGTATGCAATGGATCGGAGCTGCATGGCTATATAAACCCCGTGGAATTTTATCTGTCTTCCTAATATCTTTTTCACAGATTACCTATAATATTGTGCTGTGGATACACTTATTCAATAATCGAACTGCTTTCTTTCTTTTCTGCATTTTGTGGACTTTATTTCCCCAGCAGCATCCACACACATCACACAGTTAAGTTGTAAAGTGGACAAACACAAGCAAGATTTGATACATGCCCACATGGAGCTTATGTTCTAAAAAGGCAAGTAAATCTGTACTGCAAGGCAAAGTGAGTACAGCTGGGGAGAAACAGAGCACAGAGCAGCAGGTAGAATGGTGCTTCCCCAGGGCCTGGGAGGCAGGGGGATGGAAGGTGTTAGGGGGTACACACTTTCAGTTATGAGCAGACTAAGTCCTGAGGATCCGATGTGTATAGCCTGGTGACTATAGTTAACAGTACTGTGCTGAGTACTTGAAATTTGCTGAGAGTAGATCTTAAGCACTCTCATCACACACCAAACCAAAGGGTAACTGTGAGGTGATGGATGTGTTAATTAACTTGATCACGGTGAATGTTTCACAATGTAAATATATTTCAAATCATCATGATGTGCACTTCAAATATAGGCCATTCTGTCAATTATGTCTAAATAAAGCTGGGGGAAACATTGGGAGTAAGGAGAGTGAAGCCGCAGAGGCAGAACAATGAGGAGTAAGTGGGGCTCCAAGGAAAGGAAGCAGAAGCGACTCCAGAGCACAGAAGCCTTTGAATGCCATCCTCAGAGGAGCTTAATTTTCTCCCCTTCATCCATGGGCATCCAGGGATTCGTTTGTTTATTCATGCAGTCTCTCAGTGGAATTAGTAGCATGAATAGGGCCGATCTTCAGGAAGGTGCATTTGGCACAAGGAGCAGGCTGGATTGGATTGGGTCTAGCCTGAAGAAGGGACCATTCTGCCCGCTGCCACCAGAGCCCAGGCAAGACGTCATGAGGGCTGGAAAGAGGATAGAGGCAGTAAAAGTGGAACGAAGAATGTTGGAGACATTTCCAAACAGAAAATTGGCAGAACTTGGATGTAGATTTGATGGGAGTGGCAGGGGAAAGAAGGAGCCAAGGAAGATTTCAACTCTTCGTGAGGAGCCTGGCTGGCATGGTGTCATTAACAAAGAGGAAAAGGAACTGGTTTCAGAGACACCAGTGTGATTGGCCAGGAAAGTGGTCCACTGGGGCCACCAGGTGGGCAGTTAGAAACGTTAGTATAGAGCTCAGGAAAGAAACTGAGACTCCAAATGTAGGTTTGGGAGACATCTTCCTAGATGTTACAGTTGAACCATGGGCATAGATGAGACTGGAGAGAGAAAAAAGATCAGAGATTCACATATACCACTTGGAAAATTCCTACATGTGTAGAGCAAAAGTAGAGCAAAAGGAAGGGGAGCAGTAACACAGGAGCAAAGGAACAAGCTGCAAGAGATAAGAAACCAGAAGAATGCAGTCGCCTTGAAACCAAAAGCAAAGAAGAAGTTTCCAGAAGAGTGTTCAGTTAGCTTTAGATGCTGGAGAGATTAAGGAAAATGAAGATGAACAGTTTACATGACTATTGTCCCATGTTTGAGACTAACCAGCTAACATCCAACAGTGTTCATCATGTCTTATGCTTAACAACCATTATTTTTGTGCACTAAACTAACTTTAAGGTATGTAGTTCTTATTTGTTAAATAGACACAAGATGCATCAAAGGTAAGGTGGTTGTTTACTGGCAGCCAGACACACACAAACACACACTCATACACTCACAACACACGCCACTACATACACACCTCTGGGGTTCTGTGGCTGGACCGTATTGTGATAGACAGCCAGCCCATAGTTCCGTGTGCTTTCTCCTCCCATCCAGGATTTCTGTAACCATCAGTACAATGAGGCATCCAGAAAAAGTCTGGTGAATAGGAGAATTCGAAAACTAAGTAGATTATGTATAAAACTATGTGAAGGGTACATTTCAGCTGCCTGGTTGCTGAAGTTTTAAGAATTCCTACTCGGGCGCCTGGGTGGCTCAGTTGGTTAAGCGACTGCTCAGGTCATGATCCTGGAGTCCCGGGATCGAGTCCCGCGTCGGGCTCCCTGCTCGGCAGGGAGACTGCTTCTCCCCCTCCCACTCCCCCCTCTTGTGCTCTCTCTCTCTCATTCTCTCTCTCAAATAAATAAATAAAATCTTAAAAAAAAAAATTCCTACTCCTATATGACAATAAAAGTTTATGAGGTAAAGAACGGTCAACTGTGCTGCTAGTGGGCCTTCAACTATTCTCACTTTGAGTATTTTTATTTTGTTTTGAAGTGTCTTAGTCTGTTTGTGCTGCTATAACAAAAATGCCCCAGACTGGGTGGCCTAAGCAACATTTGTTTCTCATAGTTTTGGAGGCTGGGCAGTCTGAGATCAAGGTGCCAGCAGAGAGCTCTCTGGGGTTTCTTTGGTAAGAGCAGCTGTCCCATTCCTGCGATCCTACCTTCCCAAAGGTCCTACCTCCTAATACTTCACATTTGAGGTTAGGATTTCCACATGTAGATTTTAGGGAGGCACAGACCTGCAGTTCATAACATGCAATACTGCTGCATTTGGGGGGAGCTATTAATTGTCACCAGAAAATGTTTTGTTTTACCCTTTTATAAAAACTTGCTGTACATACTAAACTTAATATGGATTCAGGGTCAGTGATTCTCCTCGTCACCTCACCCCCAGGCTATCTAGCTGGTTTTATAATAAAAGTTAGGGGATGGGGAGGGTATGTGCTATGGTGAGCACTGTGAATTATGTAAGACTGATGAATCACAGACCTGTACCTCTGAAACAAATAATACATTATATGTTTGAAAAAAAAAAAGAAGAAGAAGATAGCAGGAAGGGAAAAATGAAGGCGGGGGGAATCGGAGGGGGAGACAAACCATGAGAGACTATGGACTCTGAGAAACAAACTGAGGGTTCTAGACGGGAGGGGAGTGGGGGGATGGGTTAGCCCGGTGATGGGTATTAAAGAGGGCACGTTCTGCATGGAGCACTGGATGTTATACGCAAACAATGAATCATGGAACACTACATCCAAAACTAATGATGTAATGTATGGTGATTAACATAACATAATAAAATAAAATTTAAAAAAAAAGTTAGGGGGAAGGTAACACTCACTTGGCATAACCTATTTTCCCAGTAAGCTACTAGAGTACATTTATTCAAGGAAGGGAGGTATAACTGTAGAGTCAATTTTGTTATTCTTATTCTACCATAATGCCTAAGAAACAATGCAGTACTGGGAAGCAAGATTAAAGTGAGTGATGAAAATAATAAATTCGTTTCTGGCTAGCTCTGGGTGAGAGCTACAAAGAGAGCTTTTTTAAGCTGCAGCAACGACTGGCTTTAAAAAAAAAAAAAGATTCAGAAATGTATTAATCACCGACTTTAGCAAAACTGTGCGAAAAGCTTAAAATAACAATAATAACTACTCCTTTCATGCCTGTGCTAAACGTAAGATGCACTTAAGGACTCTCAATTTTTTTTCACATCAGCATTCCTAACCACATTTATAGTTTGTTTTTCAGGGAGAAGTGCAATATATTTTGAATCAGATGACTCTCAGATAGATTATCTCTCTGATTTGGGTTTTTGTTTTTTTGTTTTTTGTTTTTGTAGCTGCTAGGTGAACTGATCCTGGACCGACACAACTTTGCCATTATGACAAAGTACATCAGCAAGCCAGAGAACCTCAAACTGATGATGAACCTCCTTCGGGATAAAAGTCCCAACATTCAGTTTGAAGCTTTCCATGTCTTTAAGGTAAAGTACAACAGAAGTAATATGGGCATTTGTTTTTCACTTTCCAATGGCAAACTCCCTGCTGTTTACTCTCCTTTATACTTGAGAGAAAATGAAATAGGCAGTCTTTCCGTTTTGCATGACTTGGATGAAATTTTAGAGGTATTTTAATGAATGCCCATTTGTTTCTAATCCCTATCTCTAAATATTTTCATTTTTTTCCACTGAGAAAATAGGTGGATACTGTTTCCCAAAAGTTGCTACAATAATCAGCAATAGAGCCAAAATCCAAATCCCGACTGTCAGAATTTGAATGCTTTGCTTTCTGCCTTAAGTGTTTCTTTGAGCCTTAAATGAAGCACTGAAGAAATACTGGGGTACTGCTCACTTTTATTACTTGTTAGAAATATTTCTTAAGGGCGCCTGGGTGGCTCAGATGGTTAAGCGTCTGCCTTTGGCTCAGGTCATGATCTCAGGGTCCTGGGATCGAGTCCCGCATCGGGCTCCCTGCTCCTTGGGAGCCTGCTTCTCCCT